CATGAACCTGGGTGGTTTATCCCTGGATTTGCCGGGATCAAGCCTAGTTGGAGTACACCATGAGCACATCATACAGATAAATACCACCCCCCCAAAGGCAGTATGTCTTTGTTTTACGGCCCGCCTGGCACCAATCGCTTCGTTGGAGATTGAGGGTTCGAAGTTAGCAGCCATGGCATCTCGAAGCACTCCAACCTCCATCTCCCGCTATCCGACACTGAGGACTTTCCCCCCAGAGTACGTAGGTATGTCTCTAGGGCCATAAAGGGAGTTGAGTTTCCTAAACCCTGCCACAGAGTATAGCCTCGCTAAACCTAACTTCTGGAGGTAGTCATGAGCCCGAACACGTAACAAACATAACGTCTGGATATCCCAATTCTAAGAAGCCCAATGCAAGGGCCTTCATATGTCAAGTAAGTTCTTGGGGCATATAATCATGCAACCAATACGGGACTATATGTAAGTGGATGTTTTTACTTTGTATTCTTACCCTCAAAAACCTGCAAAAAAGCCTATGCACCACCTAAAGCATCCCTACAAGTAAAATCCCAGAACAACAACCGATCAAAGTTATCAAACCCATAGTAGCCCTGTGGCCCTATGGCCCTGTGAAAGCCCGTGCTACCCCAAGATACATCGGTCCGGCCTCGGTGGGAGTCGTTGGGCGGAAGCCGAACCTCTAGCAGGAGGGAAGGATTTCGGGTTGAGGTTTAGGGTTTCCATCGTTTTTCAGGGTTTTCAAAGTTTTTTCCAGGGTCAGTGAATCCAAAGTTGGAAGCTGAATTAGGATGACAAGGGATTCCATGGACTTTACCCTAAGACCATGGGAGACTTCTGCTGTTCCAACTGTCGGGCTTGGCAGGGATCGGGGCGTTGAAACTGAGGCCTGGAGTTGAGGGTGTCGGGCTTTGGGTTTCGGGAAGTTAGGGCCTTCAGGTACGAAGAGGTCTTGGTGCCCCTGAACTGTAGCCATGATGGGATGGCTTCGCTTCTCTGGGCTGATCCTACAAGGTGCTACCCCACTCCGAAGCCCACAGCCCTAAATCCCAACTCTAACTGCCTGAACCTCCGAAGCCCAAACCCTGGTGCCGTGCAGAGCATGAGCACTGTTTTGCCCACAGCCATGTTGCTCGCGGGCGCTGTGGACCTCCAGAGTCGTGTGAAGTAGGGCTCTTGTTGCTGGTTTCAAAAAGAAACCCCAAGCATACACTCAACAAGATTTCTTGAGGGAGCCCTACATACGCTCATCAAAACCCCTTACGTCAGCTTAACTGATGTGGGTTTCTCAGGGAGCTACTATACTTACTATACTCAGCATCCACCTGCTTGGGTGTCCATCGTCGCGTTCCCTGTCCCCACAAACTACAATAAACTGTCAGGTTGAGGGTATATAACAGGCTTTGGCTTTGGTTTAGGGGCTCGGAATTAGAGTCATAGATTTTCGGTGTAGAAGTTGAGGCTTGGTCTTTAGGTTTAGAGGTGTGCGGCCAGTGTGAGATTGAACGTACAAGGTTTTAATGTTTAGGGGCTTTTTAGGGCTACAGGGGTAGTTAAGGGAGAAGCCATCACAGATGCGAGTTCCTTCTGTGCATCATTGTCCAACTTAACTCGATGGACAGATAGCACCCAGGCACGACGCGAGCCGGCACGACTGCGATGACATTACGCTGAGGAGGCGAACCATGTTGATGGACAGAGCCAATGCTGCAAAGACCCTGCCGATCCATGCCCACAAGCATTGAAGGAAGCTTTCAATTCATGAACCCCTGAAACCCTACACCCCAGAGCCTTGTCCAGACTGCACGGGAGCAGGCTGCAAGAGCAGTGTTGTGACAAGTCTCGTCGGCGAGTTGCCTCTGGGCTTCCGATAGGTTTTGGGAGGGTTTTGAAGGCAGAATCAAGGTAATGTAGTACTTTGTCTTAATGTGTGTAGTCATATATTCAAGGCTATAACCGGGTTCTTGCAACACTACGCGGGCTCATGGATCCTAAACCCACCTTCTGTGCTCTTTATGACATCGGTTGTGCTGTTCAGGGTCTGTTCGGGAGTTCCTTCTTTTCTCAAGCTGCATAGACCGTGGGTATGCAGGGCTTGTGCCTGTTAGACTTCACAGTTGCCGGATTGACGCGGCGTCGGTGTCGACCATGCAAGCGAACCAACTTAACGAAACTCAATAATTATTCTGCCCCCCCGGACCTCCATCAACCTAAACCATAAACCCGAAGAACTGGGAAAGCTGGTCCTCGGAGCGGATCTATGTCCTTGAGAGCCAAGAGGCTGCATCCACGAAGTCCTCAGACAATCCATGGCTGCACGCCAATCACTGGCCTTCTCCTCGGCTATTCTCCAGGCTTGACCCTTGCTTTAGGGTGTAGGATTCATCTTAGCAAAGGCACAAGAGTTGATGGGATTGTATCCTAAACCCTGGACCCAGAACCTCCTTTTCCTGAGGGTCCTGTTGCATTGAGACTGCAATAGAAATTGTATACTATAGCCCTAAACGAATTGGCTGGGGGTGCAATAGGCAAACCCTAAACTGTCAGTTAAACCTCACCGTCCCAGCAAGATAGAGGAAAGGTCACTAATACGCCTCTTTAGCATCTTTTTGCCCGCCCTGCTCTCCAAAAAAAATGACTTCTATATAATATGCCTAAGCGCTGAAAGTCTCAACAACGGAGCACCGGCGCCCCAAGAACAGCTAGAACAAGAACTGAGATTGAACCACACTCATCGGTCTAAACCTTGACTGAATCGGACTACGCCCGAAGCGTCCACAACCTCCTGCCAAGAGGCACAGGCCGATATGACAGCGCCGAAGCTCACTGCATTCGGCTCGATCTGAGAAGCAGAGCAGTCACGGCGGATGATTGGAGTAGATAGGAAATTTCAAACATGCATAAGGGGGCCGCGCAGCGCACACCCTAAACTATCGTGAGAATCTCACTAAACATCGTACCGCATTCTTTTCCGTGCTGATAAGAAAGTTTATTGAAGTGCCGAATAAAGGATCCCGGTTCAGAAGACCCACACAGATCTTGCGTGCCTGATTCTGCAGCGTCTTTTGGAAGAAGCGCTTCGCCCTGTCAGCATGTGGCTTGAGCTGTTGCGGTTCAGGTTATGGACATCCCGGTTGCGGCCTTTTTGTGCCATCCTTTATGGACCTTTCCGTTGTCTAGCTATCGGGGCTTATGTTCAAAGGTAAGGGCCCCTTTCAGAGTTGTTGAGCACATGGTGGCGTCGTCTAGAGTGACAACCGTCGGGAGTTGGTATGAACCATCGAGAGGCCCTACATCCTAAACCCCAACAGCTTATCACCCTAGAGGTATTTGCTCAGCAGACCCTGCAGTCCAGGAGTCATGGGCGGAGGATAGACGAGTCATGTAGAGATTTCATTCAGCACTTAGTCTGTAGGGCTGTAGCGGCAAACTGCTGAACTCGATGAGGGCATGACGTATCAAGAACGTGATGTGGAGAGGGCTGCCGACTTTTCAACAACGCGGATGTTCCATGTTGTGTGCTTGTCATCGCGGTGCGCCGAAACACACGTGCAGCACCTTCTCAGACCACCGTGATCAACTGTGGTACCCTTCTCAATCTCAGGCATTGCGGCATTCCTTAACGTCTATATAAGGATTGGTACTTTCTAGAGCCATGGGCGGTAGTACAGCATTGATAGTCACCCTGTAGAGTTGGACTCGGAAACAGGAAGAGTCAAGAGCATCTTCTGACGTCCACTGCTGCGCTCAAAGCGGACAAAAGACTGGTTTTTTCCGCACGCAGTCCTCCTCAAAACTCTGCGGCTCAAGGGCGGCAACTATGCCTGGCACCATCCCTATGACTATGTACCCTCATGTACTGCACGTGTGACACGTACACCCGCGCTTATGGCGGTAGTGAATCACGTACTGCAGCAATGCCATCTGATCCTTGAAGATCACAAACTCCATGTGATCTACAGAGCCCCCCTGCGCTCTAGTCTGTGCAGACAGGGAGTCGTATGGCTGGCCGTTCTCACGCTCTGGTGCTCTACTTCGGGACTCTCCCTGGTGAAACGCCGGGCTTGCAGTTGTTACAACCTTACTCTCTCCTAGCAGAACGCGTGCTACCAGCACACACCGTTCTGAAGTAAAATAATCTGGAAACGCGTAGAAATCAGATTTAGAAGCATTTTGCGCAAAGTAAGTGCCTTGGCCGAACATCGCACCTCCCTCTGCCCCTCTTTGTGCGTCGAAACCTTGCTCTTTGATTTTCGTGGCAGCTTCCGACGAGCAGCCATGGAAGAGCAAGTACTCGTTCAACTCAATGTGTCCGTCTTCAACATCGCATTTCATCGCTGTGATGTTTTGCACGGGTGTGCAGCCATCCCAGCTTCGCTCCCGAACCTATACTGAACTTTGCACCTAGCAAACATCATCATCTTTGCTGTTTCTTAGCAAGTATAGTAGCGAAAAATGTTTCCAAGTGCTCCTAAAGAACTTCCCGTCTGGCTGTTTTGTACTTGGCCAACATGGTAGGGTTCACGACTTCAAAGATAGCGGTAATCTCTACCGCCGGAGGTTTACACCAAACATCAGACCTTAAGCCCTTCCGATGGCTTGTCATCGATGCCTCGAACATCTCACGCAGGGCATAAAACTTCGGGGAATCAGCAGGCACTGCGTGCTCGAAGTATCGGCTGCGAGTTGCTGTACTGGCGAGGGTTTCTGCATCTGGCAAACTAGACAGCATGATGAGGTTCTTCTGCTTCACGTGCTCCATCCACTTCTTCTCGTGATCCGACTGCTCTGCCAGCTCTTGCTTGTACAGTTGCTCCAGACATTCGAGCTGCCACACGACAGCCTGGTGCCGATTCTGAAGACTCTCCTGCTCTCTCTGTAACTCTTGATTCGCCTTGTCGTGCTGACTTGTTTCATCCAGCGCAAGTTCATAGAGTTGCTCCAGATTCTCGACTTGCCACTGAAGCTCCTGAACGTCCATATCGCGTAAAGCAATCTCACGATCGAGATGCATGCACTGCCCTTTGAGACCAAGACACGCTGCATCTGTAACGCCGACTTGCTCCAGTAATTTTTGTGCGGCTTCGCAATCCACGATGAGCCGTCGTCGAAGTTTCCTTCGTTTTCCCGTCGTCCTGTTGGTTTGCACCAGCCCGTGCAGATCCACGTCGTACGAGAAATTCGAAGTAACCATTGTGCAAGCTGATTGGCCGGATTGATACGCAGCTTCAATACTGCTCAGACAGCCTTCCGCAACAGGCCTCCACTCATCAGCGCGCAAATCCTCCAAATACTCCCACAAAGGCTTCATCAGGTACTGTGGAACTGCTGACGGCTGCTGAACAGTCTCGACACATTGGTTCTGTCCATTGAGATCATGATATTGAGCACCCTGCTGACTTAACTCAAGCAGCGCAGTGTCATACAGTTGCTCGAGATTTTCAAGCTGCCACTCGAGAGCCTGGTACTGATTCTCGAGACGCTCTTGCTCTCTTTTCAGATCCTGATATGCGACACATTGGTTCTGTCCATTGAGATCATGATATTGCACACCCTGCTGACTTAACTCAAGCAGCGCAGTGTCATACAGTTGCTCGAGATTNNTGCTCTCTTTTCAGATCCTGATATGCTGCGGCTTGCTGGCTCGTCTGATGCAGAGCATGCTCATAGCATTGCTCCAGATTTTCAAGCTGCCACTGAGGATCCCGAAACTGATTACCCTGTTCACTCATCTCTGGCAAACCATTTGCGTGCTGCTCCGTATGGAGACGTGCAAGCAAAGCCAACCACTGCTTCATCCATGTCCACGAAGCTAGCATATCGGCCACACCTTGCATGAGCGCCATCACGCTGGCACACGACGTCAGAGGCAGGCCTAATCTTACAAAGAATCGCCTTGAGCCTTGAGCAACTTTCCTTCAGTCACGAACATCCTGCTGTGATGTCGTAGGGGATCGAACTCCACAAACAAAACAAACCCGAAAAACCCACAACACAAGAAACAGCTGACTGATGCTGCTGCTATTACCACTTCTACTCCTCCTCCTCCTCCT